TGCGCAGTTGCATCACTTGCACCGTTAAGCCGACTGTGATAAGTCTCGTTTCGCGCGAGCGTTGCGTCATCGCGTCGCACGCAATATTTTTATCGCCGCGAAAGCTATTTCGCAGTGCTACATCCGGCGCATTTCGGTGCCGTTTTTCCCCGGGCTCGTTAGTTTTTCCCCGATGTTGCGCGCGTCGCGTCGCGTCGCGTCGCCACTCCGTCCGCTTCCGCTCGGCGTATTTTCAAACGCGCGGGCTCGTAGATTTTCCAGGATTTCGTAACGCGACATATAACGGCCGTGACGCAATCCACATCCGAGAGCGGGTCCCAGAACAAGCGCGTGAGAGATGCGCTCTTCCTCTCCCGGGTGCGGGTGGTGCGTGTTAAAAAGCCGCGTACACGCGCGCGCGCGCGCGCGCCGTTCACGCTCGCGGAGCCCGTGGGCTTCTATCGCGCGAAGCACACTCGCAACAACGCCGTGACCACACGCCTCAAACACGTGTGGCTATATAAATAAGCTTTATGACGTCATCCCGTGCGCAGAGCACAGCCGGAGCACGATTCTGCCGCGTTCCCTCGGCCTCTCTTCTTTCCTCACGATCCACCGATCCCGCGCTTCGAGCACACTTCTCTCTCCCGCTCTTTAAGATTCACACCGCTGAATTGCGTCGTTTGCTCCGGATTCTCTGGGCTCGAAGAGCAGGGGATACGCAGAAGCGTGGCGGAGTTTAATGGGCGAGACTCAATGGAACATTAGAGTGGGATATAAGAGATTTTAGACTGGATTTTCCCTTGATTTTTTTCGCAACATTTATTTTCATAATGCAAATTGTTGAATTTATTAATTACTAAATTAATATATGTATATAGAAAATAAAAGCCAAAAATATTTATAAATATTATTTACATCAAATATAAAAATTAGCGAAATTTGATATAAAGATTAATCTACGAATTATAAAATTGCCGAATTTGCAAAAGTAATCAATTTGTTTCAAATTGATTTAAAATAGATTTTATCTCAAAAATAATTAAAATTCCCGATTAACTGTTAAAATATTATGTCGAAAATTCAACACACGATAAATAATGGTTGCTCGTCGAGAGTTTTCACGATGGAAAAATCATATTCGTTATTAGATTCGCGATGAAAAGGGAAGGTTTGTTTGTTTCGCCGCACCATGTGGAGTCCGTTTTCATATCGGTGCTCTCATATTAATGCTGCGTAATAGATAATCGGTCGGAATAGAGTCTTACGTAACGATAAAACAGATGGTCTGTTGGAATGCGGGCATTCACGACCTACAAGAAAACGCGAAGTGCCATAGCGTGCGTTCGTCCATGAGATGAAAATATGGGCCGCGTTATATGGTGCGGCAATAAACCTATACATAAATAACTGTAACGAAAAGCCTTACGTCCGTTACTACGAATATGCTTTAGAGCCGTCTCGCGCACAAGCCGACCCGAGCAATTCCGACGATTAATACTTGGCATCAAACTCACGATCACGACGTCGCCTTCGTGAACTTCGGCTATTCGCAAGATTCGCGGAATCGCTGTGAAGTACGCTTAATGGACGGCGACTGTAAACGTATTCCAGTATATTCTACACCGTAAATTTGCCAAAATTGCCTATAAAGAACGGATGCGAAATGGGGTCGCGCAATACGCAATTTATCTCATTGTCATTTGATCGTAGAGCGGCTGGAAAATGGTTTATGTAGTCAATTTTGAAATTACTCGAAACTCGACAATATTTTATTTCCACGTGAAAGATCTTTATTCAAATTTCTTTTAAATAATATTAAATGTATTTAGTCGTAATTATTCGTGTAGGAAGTGATAATTCTTTGACAATCTTATCTTTTTAATTACAACACTAAACGATTGCGCACAAATCGCGGTCAATTAAAGAAAGATCGGAATCTCTTTCCGGGCGCGATATCTCACGACATGTAACGCAATATAATGGCACGTATCAGCATTATTCCGAGTGGGCTTAGCCAAAAAAACCGTTCCGCGCAATTATCCACGCAATTTATTCGCGGCGGTACTTCGCGTCGCTTAACATAAGAATATCAGACGAGTGTGCGAGCTCGCCCGGAGCGAAAAACGAGTGGCTATGAAAAGTTTACGGGGGACGAAAAGTGATGGTACATAGAGATGAGGGGGTGGTTGCAGCGTCCCCGGCAAATCCGCGATAAGTATGCGCAAAATGTATGAAAGAGATTTCGCGCATGGAGTGGCGCAAAACCGGCATTGGCGCGGAAACTGGTGAAAGCACAATTTAAGGACCAATAGCGATTTCAGAGTTCCTTATAATCCTTAAATGCAGTTTATAAAAAAAAAAAATCTTTCAAAATTTTATATCAATTCGAAAAAATAATAAATACATATATGTGTGACGCATTGGAGAAATACCAGATAATTTAACATATCTGAAATAAAATTTCCACTGCTAAAAATTGATCGATTACTTTATTGTACGTCGAGTAGCAATGATTGCATATATTCTCACTGAATAGATATATTTAACAATGAAAAGCGCGTCAAATATGTATACATCTCTTTCAAGTTTTCCCTATTTTTATTCCTGTTTAATCTTCAAAATATTTTTCAATTTGTATATTTCTCTGTTTGAATTCATTCCCTTCATTCCGAAACGCAATGCGTTGTCGACCCTGTTAAGAAGACAGGAAGTACGGGGGTTGGATAGACGCGCGAGGGGGATGGAAGGCGAAACGATGTCGGCGACGACGGCGTTTAGAGCGTTAAAGATGATGGAGACTATAAATGACTGAGAAAGGCGAGCGAGTGTGCATATCTCTCTCGTGAGGGACTCATCGCGGCACAATAAGAAGCGGGTTGGGAACCGACGAGAGGGACGACGATAGTTAAAGAACAGAGGGAAGGAGGGTGTACCGTACAAAATGTGACATTACCGGGAACAAGTGATCATTAAGGCCACCCCGGGGCTAAACAAAGGGATCATTGAGAGACTTAAGCGAGGCTACAGGCAGTTTCGAAACTAGTCCGCGCAGTCGCTCGAACAAGCGAATTGTACATTGCCACTTTCGCAGATTTTACCTCTCTCTCCTCCTCTTTGCTTCTTTCTCGATCTCGCTCGCGCGTTCGCCTTTGCACTTCGACCTCTGGACAACGGGAACATCTCCCACGGGTGCCGTGCGGGTTTCCATTTTGATTTCGAGGTCAAATTGATTGCCCGTGCGAGCCTTAACAACAGCGTTCAAGCGCTATTTTCTCATGAACGTTGAAATTTCGTTCGAAATAAAGTCGACGTATCTTTCATCTATTATTATTCCCTACTTAAAGTGATGGGATTTTCTTTTATGCATATCTTAAAAACTTAAATAGAAAAGCAACTTGAATATTCCTGGCGTTTAAATTGTAAATTTTAGCGTAAATAATCTTACAATTGCTAATTAAAATTGGAAATTTCATCCATTTCATTTTTTTTATATTTTTTAAGAAGAGATGTAATTCGAAATTGACGTTACATGTAAAAAGATACAATCGGATAATTCGCAAACCTACCTCGCCCGATCTATCGTGTCTCGATAGCTTAGATTTTCATGCACTAACCGGCGCGCTTCGCTATCAAGTCCAATTGTACGATATGCATACCGATTGGCCCGATATTATCGATCTCCATATATCGAAGAGACGAAAGGCATCATCCCGGGCTCACCGAAAAGCGGCGCGCTCGACATCACGACGTATGCACATCCCCATGAGGGTAATCTCATTTCTTATCGACAACGACGACGAGATCAGCGACTCGAGCGTTGTTAACGTATCGTCATTGAAATCCGATTACATGCTCCGCCGCCGTTCTCATGCGGACAAAAAGCGAGCACGCGGCAGGGAGGGGGGGGGGAGGAGGGGGGGGGGGAGGGGGGGGAGGTAGGAATGTCCACCGCAAACGCGTAATTTTCTTTCTTCTTCGTCGTTTTTCTTTTTCGAGATTTTTTTTTCACTCGAACCCGATCGTACAGTTTCAATCTCGGGGAATTCATTTCCTCGCCGATTGGCGCCGGTACAGGGGTGTGCTCGGTGGATTTACGGAGGGATGTATGCGGCGCTCTCGGCCGAATCCGTTACCACAGATGCTGTCTGTCGTTATACCCTTTCCCTTTTTGCCACCGTCGGGTTGACATTAGCGACGAAATCAGAATTTTATTACGAACAAGCGTGCGGCGCTTGGGACCGCGCGGGGCACCAAAAGCACGATACGAGTGGACCGAAGTAACGTAGCCAGAAATATGCAGATCTATTTGGAAGAGTTAAAAAGAAATTAAGCTCGCCAGCTTGTCGAAGAATCGATCGATTTTCGATAAACATAAAAATTTGATCTTCCGCGATTTAACGTTAAATAAACGTTCATAAAATGTCGACAGTTCGAGGCAGTGTTGAGTCTCGCGAGAATCATGAGCGCTAACCGTTATCATTTTGCTTTATTGAATATATATTTATGCGTTATTTGCACATTCGTTCATGCGGTTAGGTGTCTCATGGCGGCTGTAATCGAATTTATATAGAGTGGCCGCGACCGAAACTGTTATTGGCTAAATAAACTGGAAAATGGACCCGACTCACATGGAAAATGAACTTTGGGAAATTGCCGCGGTGGCCGGGGCTTAACTGAATACATCGAGTTAATTAAGTACTTGCATTCTCATCAATATTAATATCATTTATATTAATCAAGTAGTAATAATGGTTAACATAGGATATCGTGCGCCGCGTTTTGCTGCTGTAGAAATGATTACTTAAGTCGTGACGATTAATTACACTTGCGAGGATCGACGTCACGCATGCATTAGATATGTATTAGATAAATTACGTTTTTTACCCGAACAAATGTAGGCCGCTATTAATAGTTGACTTAATCAAGAGAGAATGTTTTCTCAATCTACATCGCACGGAGAATTCAGATTTTCGTAGATTTCAATATAATTATTGATTAACATCTAACTGCGTTTTTACCTTATTATTATATATATCCAATGCGCTGGATCAGAGTGTATGCGTATTAGGTATTCCTGTTCCACTTTTTTTTACTCTTAATGTCATCATCTGAAACAAAAGAAAGTGTATTTTGTTAATTAAATTTAATGGTAATATGAGAAAAGAGATACGAAATATTATAACAATCTGATATATAATAAAATCGTTAGGAGTGATTACTTCTTTAATAGACATCGTAAATCATTAAGCCAACGATAACCATCAATTATCATTAAAAAGTACTGCGGTATCACGACTGTGCTGATTGACCCTATTAAATATTAGACCCCCGCAGCGTCAAGATCTGTGTCAAGTTTCTTATCCGCTCGAGCGACGCAGGCACAGCCGCATTCCGTCGAGTCATCGTCGTAACATCATCGCGCCATCGTCGGATGCTGCGTTCGGAAAAGAATACCTCTTCTCCCACGCGTAACACACGCGTACGTGTGTACGTGCGCTTAGTGTTGCGCAGCTCGACGGAGGGAATCGACAATTTGACGGATCGATGACCGTTCAACGTGCCGGCAGACTTGATCGGTCTCTCTCTCTCCCCCCCTCTTTCTCCCTCCCTTTCGCTCTCTCTCTCTCTCTCTCTCTCTATCTATCTATGTATGTACATTCCCGCAGGTTTGCAAGGAGGCGTGAAGGCACCACCATTATTTATGAGAGCCGTAAATCACGATCGATCGATCTGACAGATCGATCGTGCGCGCTCGCGCACGCTCGCTCAAGCGGCGTTCTCGAACGCCGGACTCTCGTCGTCGAGGAAACACTTTGACGAGGGATGCCCACGTATGATGCAACTATCACGACTATCACCGTGACACTAGTGGAATTATACCAGGCAAACACAATATCGCTCGCGCGATGTATCCGCGCTCATATATCGTACGTCCATGCGAGCGAGAGGTATTATTTTTTGCCGGTTGCATTATTGCCGTCCGTCACTATTTATCACACTTTATCACTCTCTACTGGGAATTCAAGAAGTAGAAGTACTAAAGAAGTGCGTGCAAAGTTTTTAGGAATCGCGTTGTCGTAATAAAATTATAAAATAATTAAAATTGAATATTTTAAATAATATCCGCAGAATAAAAATTTTTGAAAGATAATTCTCATGTTTTTTTGTCTTCTTTTATTTTATCGATGATATTTTTAGCATTTTGTAATATTATTAAATAACGCCTGAAATTTTTTCTGACAAAAAAGAATTATAAATTATAGCATTTTGTAAGATAATTTTCCTCATATCGAGTCTTCAATTAAATTATCATAATTTCACCGCGCCTAATCTGCATGACAAATGCGATTCAAGTACGACGGAAAGAAATAAAAAGAAGTATTAATAAAAGAGATAAAGATTTCTTGTTTAAATTCATCGCTTAATTTGCCATACTTAGCCCATCTCATTTTGTCTACATTTCGCCCGTTTATTACTTTCGTCTATTAAAATGAAGCTTTCTTGCATAAGATGGCTCAAATTCAGAGTGGAAAGCGCTGTAGCGAGCGATATAGAATTCCTGATTAATAGCTGCTCGAGTGCTAGTGATTTACGATGATTATGCCCCCGATGACACCGCGGAGATACAGTTAATTGCTTAACAGGTGTCGTTTACTGCTTAACATGCCTTCGACGATCAGTGCTGGATCAATAAAGCGGTAATCAGCTGTGATATGCGCACATTTTCTGAACTTACATCTTACAGCGGGATAATGATAAAAGCACCGAGTAAAATATCATTTCTGAATAACAAATGTTTTCGCGTCATTTGTTTCTGAGAATACAAAAAAAGAGATTTTTCTGCGTTGCATCTTGCAACGGTGATGATTATTATAATACTTAAAGCTCTCACGGATAATGGTAGACGTACTTAGTCACGTTTTCTCACCTCGCCGCGAATCAAGATAACGCTGCGTTTTATATATCACAGGAGGTTTTATATATCCTATATGCGCGGAAAGAAATATTAACATTTTTCTACACTGCGTTTAATTAGCGAGAGAAATTTTTATTTGTTCCTCTCTCTCAGCATTTTACGCTATAATATTTTATAATTATTTTACGTTGCAATACAAAAAGATTTTATATTAAAATGATTTAAAATTTAAAGAGATTTTATTTTTTACATTGTAGCACCAGAAAAATGGAAAAAAAATTTCAACTAAAAATTAGTTCAAAATATATGTAAAGCAATATATTAAAAAAACGAGGAAAATAGTGTTGTTAAATTCAATTTTTGCCGAGCAAAACAGGTTGTAAATTTATTAAAGCAAATAACGCCACTTTCGAATTAATCTATATTAGATTCTGCAAGACGAGTCAGCTGAGTAAGCGAGCAAATTTGAAAAGTGGTTACTGACAAATTACTTGATGACGCACCAAGTTTGAAGGAATTTTACTTAGATCTGACCTAGATTCGGTAGTCGAAAGCTACAGACTATGGAAATTGTGTTCTAACGAGCTTGTTAGTTCCAGCGGTCGGAATAAACCAACGATCAATTCATTGCAAATTATGGATAACAATGATCAACTTATGCAAGAATAAATCTACATATTATAAATAATCCTATAAAATGGAAACAATGCTATTAATATTGCATTTCTAATGACAAATAAATATTATGTAAAATTAATTATAATCATAAATAAAAATTATGCTAAATAAAATGTTTTGTAAAAATGTTGTCGGCTTCTTATAATAATTATTCTTTGAGAAATAAAAATTTTTTCACATTTTTTCAAACTTCGTATTTTTATCATGTACTATAAAAAATAGATAAATTGCTAAAACAATATCTTAACAATCTTAATATACATACTTTCTCTATGTCGACGTACAAAAAGACATTAAGGCGCTGCACAGCTGTATAATATCTGATTCCCATTTCACCATCTTAACGATGCTTCCAGACGGAACCATATTTCTCGTTTGAGGGAATCCTTCCGGTGCTCGCCGGTGCGAGCATATTCCAACGGTCCCATTATTTAATGCCGCCCGCACCTGCCTCCAACAGGTGATGGGGGCTCGCGATCTCCCGGTCTACTGTGCTCGGGCACGTGCCTTTGCTGCAGAAAACGTGTCGTTCCGAACAGCCGCGCGTATCGCAGAGCACAATCGGATCACCATAAAAAAGGTGCGGGAGATTGTTCGGCCGACGTGCGCGTATCTTTTTATAGTGCACTCGACTGATTCAGAGAGATCGATCTCGGAAAAAGACCTTTAAACTTTAACTGACGTTGTTATATCACACGTTTCCGGATGAAACGGGAACTTGCATGACGCACGTAATGTATTATCCCACGTGATCGTATCATTAATGCATAAACACGAACAAGTTGCATAAATAATGTAGCCGTTTATCGCGAAATAAGTATAATATTAGAGGTGACGATATTTAAAAACATAATTTCAGCTTCCATGATTTAAAATAGACAGTTATTTAAAGTAAATAAAATTTATTCGTGTGCTCGAACCGTTTACAATGTGTCCCGTTTGCAAAGTATTAAGATCGCATAACTTCACATCACGTCGGACGTTTTAAGATCCTATAAAATTAAGTTTATTGTTAGAAATTGTCACACACACCGTCGATTCGTGCTACGTTCCGAGACAATGCGCACGACACTAACTAGTATTTCTTCTGCTTTAATAACCGACTGGAATTGCACAAGACGATCGTTGCGTCCTTGTGTGCAACACCCACGTTGCATTGTATTGCAAAACCTTCGTATCGTGTCGCGCTATTATCTCGTTTCCGATCGGCGATCGTGAGTAATTTACTTTTATGACGCGCACGCGTTGAATTAAGAGAAAATCGAAATTTTATCGAAACTGACAGAGGTAGATATTTATCTTGATTTTAACATATATAACTGTTGTCGCCATAAAAAATTTTATAGCACTCGGATAATACATGTTACGCGTCATTAAATAACAGGCCGAATGTAGATTGCTTAAGCTCGGCATAATTGCGCTCCAAGATTATTTGAATACATTTACATAACTAATGTAGCTCGTACACAATCGCAATAACGACGTCAAATATTTGCCGAACGATATATCGTGACGTCGTCAAATAATAGGTGACGACTCAAACGAAACGGTTCGTGTGTGAACGGGCCATTTTACGCGAGTTTCGAGATTGTGAATGACAGTCTCGAAGCCGCAATGCACGAGAGATGCGAGAAACAGAACATGCAGCACCGCGAGCGCCGGGAGAGAAAGGCAAATAAAGTAACGACAATCAAATTAACAGTGCAAATCTCACGCTCCGTCGTCTATTGAGTCATTCCCTATGCGATGTATGTGTGTGTGCGCGCGCGCGCGCGTGTGCTGCCACCAACTATATATCAACAATATATTCCGGTTGAGTATAAATACGCATGAATCATGCGTTACGCAAACTCGCAACTTCGGAAGGGCGTGCCCGGAAGGTATTGTTAGCCGCTATATCTCAATATCGCGGTTTTCCACGTCCGCAGCTTTCGCAGAAAAGTATAGTCTTGTGGTATGTATGTACCCCGGTTATCCTTCGATATCCCAGTAAGCTTCGCGTCAGCAACCTCTGTCGCCTATTCGCGTCTCAGAGATGTAACGCATACTATCTCAAGATGCACTCTGTCGGATCGCAAAATAAATTCTCGAGGAATATTGGCAGCTTCAACACTCTCAGTCTACATCAGGGAAAATCACTGTTTATCAGTTACGTCTAATAGACTCGTTTTAAACATTTCTAAACGGTTGTTTGTCAATTTCGAGATATAATTTTGCGATAAGATTTGTTGAATGATTCGAGCTTTTTCAATTACTTATATTTTATGAATAATTTACGAAAAATATTACAGAAATATAAATGTAAATCTTGCCACACAGAGCTGCTAGAAAACTCATAAAATTAGATTCCATGCATTTATCGAGAGTGATAAGATTATAAGGGTAATTTCGGAGATATATTCTGTTTTCGTTGCAACATTTTGATACGCACGTGTGCGCGGTTAATTCTACGGCCAAGTCTTGATTCATCTTCGAGGATCATAAAACGCACGAATGTAAATTGTAAAAGAGATA